GCGACACTCTCGCCGACCAATGATTACATTATAGCCGACCACACAGTCCGATTGTGTATGTACCGTTTCGGCCAATAATTAAAATACGTGTGAATGGAGGTGATCCAGCTACATCTTATTCGTCGGCAGCTCTCTGGGCAGTCGCTGACGATTGAACACTTCGACGACTAATCGTCGTACATTCCGCCGCTCCGTTCGTCGAGTGCATCGAGCGCATACATTGTTGCTCGGCGCGCGAGACAACGCTAATGCAACGATGAAACTTATTTATTTTTGATTCGTTGTTAATGAAACTTTTACTAGTATATTGGTGAGATTTTTCTGATTAAAATGATACTAAATATGACATAATTTGGATCGTATGTACTCATGTAGAAACTGTTAATAGTTCATATTAATTCATTATCGATTGTGATAAATCATAAGTAAATATGACCCAAATTGCGTCGTGTTTGGTATCATTTTAATCAGAAAAATCTCACCAATTTGTTTATAAAAGTTTCATTAATAAAGAATCAAAAATAAAAAAGTTTGATCGTTGCATTAGTATTGTCTCACCGAGACCCGAAAATGTAACCTTTTTGTGGGCTCCCAACGTTCAGTCGTCGGCTCGTGAACGGGAAGCGTCTCGGCGCGCTGCGGCAACAAAGTATGCGGTTGCCGAGTTCCACGGTCCCCCCCCAGTGGTGGGGATGACGCCTGGACAATAATCGCGTATCAATAATGAGTCAATAATCGCGAGGACTCTGTATTACGTAAAAACCAAAAACATTAGAAAGTTCAATTTAATCTCGAAAGATGGAGGAGAGTTTCCCCAATAAAACTGTATATAGTTATAATATTGTGAAATTTTTTATGGTTGTAAATTGCCGTGAGTTTTAAAAAAACCCGATTTGCGTACTTTCTATGCATTATCTTTGCATTTTTACGAAAATTTCTTTACCTAGTATAAATTTGCTACATACTGCTGGATTCTGTAGACATTTCTGAAGAAGAAACTAGCAAAAAAAAATGTTTGAACGGTTTTTAATTCGAACATGTCTGGAAAATATTTGTCGACGACGTGTCTGCACGGTGTTTCATCGCCACGCGGCCATTGGTTGCTTACCTGGACTCTTCAGTGCCATAGCTACGCGAAATTGACACCGATAGTACCGTCCAATGGGCACCCCATTGCCATATGTATAATGTTTGATTTTTTCCATATATTCTTGGATACTAGTCCCACAATTCTAATGAACTTTTCTTGATCACTTTCAGTTTCAAATTATTTCAATGTTCGATGCATGTACAGTGGGTCCAAAAAGTATTCATACACCCTTTAAAACAGAACATCTCTTTCATAATTGGACCAAGCGACTTGAGTCTCTTTGTGAAATTAGAAGGATTAGTATACTAAATGATGAAAAAGTTGCAATTGGTCGAAATCGCGAAGAAAATAGTAAAGGTCGCTTTTTGCGACTTTTTTATCTGAGATTGTAATGAAAATTTAACAAATACATTGTTTCGATTTATGTTAGTTATATACATGCTGAAAATTTCATCGAAATCGGTTAACGTTGTTATGAGATACAAACGGTTAAAAATGATGAAATTAAATTATCATTACAGTCTCAGACAAAAAAGTTGTAAGAAACGACATTTACTATTTTCTTCGACATTCTGAAAAGTCGGAAACTTTTCAAAATTTATTAAACGCATCATCCAGTAAACTAATCCTTCCAATTTCACAAAGAAACTCAAGTCACTTGGTCTAATTTTGAAAGAGTTGTTCTGTTTTAAAAGGTGCACAAATACTTTTTGAACCCACTGTATACGTATGACTTATTAAAAAAAGCCGTTAAAAGTCACACTCAATTGTTCTTGAGTTTACAGGATCTTTATTATTATGATTTTACAAGATCCCGAACAGTTTCTCAAGTATGCAAGTATGTAAATTCCATTAAAAAGTATTTGATATAATTTGAAATTTTAACAACATCAGAAATAATTTGAAACTGAAAGTGATCAGGAAAAATTCGTTAGAATTGCGGGACTAGAATCCAAGAATACATGGAAAAAGTCAAACATTATACATATGGCAAGGGGGTGCCGATTGGACGGTACTATCGGTGTCAATTTCGCGTAGCTACAGTATTGAAGAATCGAGGTAAGCGAGCAATGGCCGCGTGGCGGTGAAACACAAGTGCATATTGCCGACGGATATTTTCCCGACCTGTCGGAATCAAAACCGTTCCGAAATTTTTTCTGGATAGTTTCTTCTTCAGAAATGTCTACAGAATTCGATAGTATGTAGTAAATTCATACTAAGTAAAGAACTTTTCGTAAGAATGCTAAGATAATGCATAGAAATTACATAAATCGGCTCTCTTTGAAACTCTCACAGAAATTTAAAACCATTAAAAATTGCACAATTTCATAAGTGTATACACAGTTTTATTCGAGTAACTCTCCTCTATCTTTCGAGATTAAATTGAACTTTCTAGTGTTTTTAGTTTTTATGTAATACGTCATTTTTGCCCAAAATCAGGTGTTTTTACAAAAACTTCTGTTTTTCAAAACCTGAGGGAGATGGAGACATTTGTGATTTGGACGAGAAATTCTATAAGGATCTCCCAACGCATATTGCAGATCAGAAAAAAAGTTTATATTTGTTGGACAGTGTAATTGAATTCCTTATTTTACCGGCACAAAATTATTTTGTCATTACTTGCCATTAACGACTAATTAAAAAATAACAGGGCATAAAGAATTACTATTCCATTAGTAATGGTGCAGCTTTGAAACTTTCCTTACAAATTCGGAAGCATTTATTTGAATCATTAAAAAGTAAGACGAATATAGTGTCGAATATAAAATTTGTAAAAACAACAAAGGCACAGCCAGAATTTTATTTTTATTTAGGCAGATAAATTAATATTGGTCCTAAAAATACGTATATACCAGGTAGATCACCAAACAACATCCGTGTTAATAATCATTAATTATTGTTTAATACAGTGATGGGCAAACCTTGAACCGCCAATTATGTATTTACTTGCGACCCTCTTCAATCAGCTGTGTGTGTGTGAAAATTTTTTACGATTAACTCAATATCTAAATCTAGGAAATAATAAATTAGGTTCTGAGAATTGTTGGGTTTTTAATTTGGGCCTGCTACAAAAAAAGGTTGCTCATCACTGATTTAATGAATTCACAAAAAGCTACCTTATTTTTATTTTATTTTACCACCCTATCCTAAGCTATATTTTATAGATGAGGCAATATAATTTTCTGAATTTATTATTTCAGCTTTTCGTATAGTGAATACCATGATTGTGATATTTTTATAGATTCCTGAAAATGTAGACCTATGTACATTTTACAGAATTTTTGAAGCGTTTAAAATACCCGAAGATCGGTTTGCTCATGAATGATTGCACCGGCCATTTAACGGATTGGAAAATATATGTACGATTAATGGGTTCAAATCATGCTAAATCTTTCTGCAAATTTGCGCCACCAATGATACGTTTTCAGCGGTGTCGAAAAGAAAATATTTTAATTTAATTTTAAATGCAAGAAAAAGAAAAGTTTTCAGAGTCTTATAAGACAAACTTACTTTATAAATTAATTTGACATTATTAATTTGTATTAGGGAGTAGTTTGAAGTAGTTAAAAAACACAATTATTTTATATATCGGATCAGAAAGGATTTCTCCGCATAGTTGACATACGTTGTTTATAATAAACCAAAAAAAAACGTATGTATTATTAATTCATACGAATACAACACATGTTCGCGAAAAAGCGAAAGAAAATGATTAAAAAATCAATGTTTCGGAGAGTCATTACATTTTTTGTCAAAAGCCTTGAATGTTTATGTTTTGCAACAATAATTTAATTGCAAAGTAATAGGTGTCCGTAGTTTATACAAAAAAAGAAACATTCAACTTATACAACCGCAATAATTTTGAATCGATTTGTTTAGTAATTTTGGTAAACTCATGCTGTCTAGCGTGGATATAATGTTTTTCACATGGAAGAATTTACGTAATGCTAAAATAGATTAAGTGTCTTAAATAAAGAAATTTGTCACGCGTAATCGGTGTTATTTGTGACTCAATTCAATATTGTGAACCGTTTTTTTAATGGAATAAGTTTACTGACATTTTAAGTTTTTAAGAGATTACACGCTTTTTTAGCCTTTCGCGTTTCAAGAACAAATTTAGAATTTTAAAATGCGCTTTTTCCTTCATGATTTCCAAAATGATGTGGCATCTGCTGATTGATGAAGTAACTACTGAAGCTATTATATTCAGTACTAGTACATAATTATATTATGTATCAACTAATAATACATGAAGGTTACTTCGTAATATCATTTATTTGTAAGTAATCTCGTATTATATTGCCTCAATTTTCATTAAGGTTTAACAGCTTTTCAAGGATTAATATCTGTATATCTAATGTACTTCGATAATAATTAGACTGCGGATTTTATGCATTTATAGCGAATATAATTATGTAAAGCTTAGTATACAAAAATATTTAATGAACTTTGATGAGGCATTTGTTTTATTTGGAACCTAATAGTATCCTTCTAACAAGGTAATGGAATTTTTGTTTGATACCAGTTTTTGTAAAATAGACAATAAAAATCTATATTTGCATAAAGATCCGCAGTCTAATAATAATTAATGTCCCTCTATTTTTGTTTCTAAAAAAACCTAGCTTTGATGGCAAATATCTACGTAACTTGTCCAAATATGTATACCTATACAAAGAATTACCATAATTCCATTAAACAGTTTAATTTAATAAAATTTCTATCAAGGCGTACTTTGACCTGAATTTTTATAGCATTGGCTGTCCAAGAAGAAAAGGCGGGCGAAAGAGGGGGGAAAGTAATACGCGAGAGGAAAGGAGCGCGCGTAACACACGGTTTTCACATTAAATCTACATAGGAATTCGAACGAACAAATCAGAAATAAAGAAAAAGATACGAAAAAGAAACGTACACTGACCTGACGACGTCTTCCGAACATATATTCGGTGAGCAAGTCAGCTTGGGGGCCCAGAGGTGAGAGGTACGGGCCTGCCATCCCTTCGAAGGCTCAGGAAACGGTTGCTCGCCAAAACTGTTTTTATTAGTATCTTTTGTTTCCGGTGGTATCCTCACTAGCAGAGAGACTGCATAGAGTCGTTTTATCGTTCTCGATAGGACGACGCCGAGGAAACTGAAGTCTCCTTTCGAGAGTTCACCCTCGATCAGCCCCGTGTTTCGCGGCGGAACGGGGGTCGGCTTCCCTTCGTCCGATTGGTCGTCTCGTTTTAGGGGCGTTACCACTTCCATGGAGATAAGTACACACCCCTCTTGTGGAAAATTCGCTAAATCGTACTGCGCAGAATTTTTCCTCCGGAGAGGGATGGTACTTAATTTACGGCTTTTCAACAATTTCCCTCACTCCGGGGCATGCGATTTCTAAATATTTTATAAAACTAATTCGCTTCCTTACGTTCAATGTAACATCGCCGTTCCATCTAGGCCTGTTAGATCGGATTTGATCTTTTTTTCTCTTCATATTATTATCATTTATGCGGACTCTGCTCTCGCTCTAGTGTTCCCATCTGTCTCATTGTACATTCTGCCAACTAATATGCGGGTAATATTGATTTCTTCTTTGGTTTTGCACATTATGCCCGAATTACTTTATTTAGAGCTCTGTATTCCAATCTTACAATTGTAATGACAACTGTAACAATGTATTTTTTATTTAATAAGCGTTATTAAATTTTATACTGGGTGGGTTATAATTTACTAATATTCCAATCAGAGACCCCTAACTGTTATAACCACAATTTAAAAAGTGACGGTATAAGAGTTAATATCTTTGTGTGAATGATTTTGGTTACGAATAATCATTATAAATGATTAAAATTTTTCTTGGTTACCAATAACAATTATTTTTGGTTCCGTATAACTATTATTGGCTATCGAAATTATATTGGTCACGAATAACCATTATCAATGACAGAAATTGTTTTTGGTGGCACATAACCATTATCGATGACGAGAATATTATTTTGGTTACTTTCGACCATTGTCAATTTTTATTAATGTTATTTTCACTAACGTATCTATATTTTAACTGAAAATATATCAATTCTATAATTTATTTTGCGTCACTGATAGATACGTCAATAAAGGTAACGCGAATAAAAATTGTCGATAGTCGAAAGTAACCAAAATAAAAGTCTTGTCATCGATAATGCTTACGTGTAACCAAAACCAATTTCCGTCATTGTTTGACGCATTCATCACGTCATTTTTTGAAAAATTTCTTCGAGATTTATTAATATCTGGTTATCATTTAAATAAAAATTACTTTTTGCTCAATGATTTTTTTCCAAAACATATTTAAAATAACTATTATTTTTGGTCTCTGATTCCAATACAGGACCTACGACAGGAAATTTGTGCATATTTTTTTTGTTTGACACGTTTACTATCATGTTATCTACAATGGAGACAGAGAAACCTATCATCGAAATGGAAACTTCTGACAATAGACAAATCCCAGATAGCACATGGCGTCTAGTGACGCCTTCAAGACGGTTAAAGGCGTCTTAGACCTAAAACAGCCGTAAAGTAGGCATCTTCAAGGCGTCATGTGCTATCTGGGATGTAAAACGTCCCATTCCTTACTATTTGTTGGATAAACGTAAACTAAAATGGCGTGGAACACGTATAACTTAGGTTTTATACAGTGTGGCACAATAATTACCATTTCAGATATCTTGGCAACTATAAAGTTCACAGGAATATTTGTTGAGCCATAATTGCATAGTACGAAGAGAGCCATCAGATAGTTTTTTTTCAGATGGAGGTACTCTGGATATTTCAAGATCACCTCCATTCTTTTAAATGGATCGGTATATTTTTGTTTCCGTAGAATGATAGAGGAGCTTAAAACGAGTTCAACGACATAAGGTCATTGAAGGTCATAAAAAGTTTTATAATAACTAAGTTTATAAAATTAAATAAATTTTCAGAATAAGATAAACATGGTAAGAGCGAAAGTTTGAAGAGCAAATCGATATGCTTCTTATTTATGGCGAAGGCCAACAAAATTCTGTAAAGACAAAAAACTTATATGCTGAACGATATTCACATTGGTCTCAGCCTTCGCGTCGAATATTTAAAAATGTGTGGTGATAAACTTAGGCAAACCGGTAGTTTAAGTGTTCGTAAAAGTGAACGCCGATAGCGAGTAACGAACGAAGAAAATGAGATCGGTGTGCTCACAAATTAAACACGAATCTGACATTAGTAGGAGGAGCGTACTTCGCATTTTGCACAGTCACAAATTTCATCCGTATGGTGTTAGTCTTCACCAAGAATTGCAGGGGAACGACTTCATGAATCGCGTTGAATTTTGTCGATGGGCTAAACATCGGATACAAAACAATGAGTTATTTTTTAATTCGGTCTTATTTACTGACGAGGCAACATTCACAAATCACAGGAATGTTAATTTGCATAACATGCATTTATGAGCAGTGGAAAATCCACATTAGCTGCGGCAGGTTGAACACCAGAGGCAATGGTCTGTGAACGTATGTTACGGTGTCACAGGTGATGAAATTATTGGTCCTCATTTTATCAATGGAAATTTGAATGGCAACATCTACACTAATTTTATTAAGAATACATTGGATCCGTTGCTAGAAGAATCGCTTTTATTTACACGACAGACCATGTGGTATCAACATGATGGATGCCCAGCATATTATTAATTGATTGCGCGAAGGGAACTTGATGAAAAATTTCAAAATCGTTGGATTGGATGCGGCGCAAAGTGGTACAGAACGCCTATTTAGGAGTTCAGAACCTTAATTTGGGTGTAAAAATGGGAATTTCAAAACCAAACCTGGTAAGCATGTATTCAATGTTCTTATTTATTCAAAACAAAAAAATTACTAAGTAATGTTTTTTAATAATAATTTTTTTTAAGAGAACCTGTGATTAACAATAACTCCGTAAAAAAAGAAGTTTTTATTTTGTTTATAAGAAAGGTATTATTAAAGACATTACTTATTAATTTTGTACGTTTTTAATAAATATGAACATTAAATACATGCTTACTAAGTTTGCTTTCGAAATTCCCATTTTTACACCCAAATTATGCTTCTGAACTCCTAAATCGGCGTCCTGCTCCAACTGAGCGGCGGTCCAATATCGTGGCCAGTTCGTTCACCAGACTTGACACCTCTAGATTTCTTTCTATGGGGAACATTGAAAGATAAAGTGTACAAAGAAGTACCAACTGCACCTAAAGACATGCAACAGCGAATTATTGCAGCCTGTGCGTCAATAAAGTTTGACGTTATAAGTTTTGCACGTCAATCAGTCATAAAAAGAATTTAGTGTTGCATTGATAATGATGGTCATCATTTCGAACACCTACTATGATCTTACGTAGTAGGTCGTTGAACTCGTTTGAAGCTCCTCTATCATTCTACGGAAACAAAAACACCGATCCATTTAAAACAATGGAGGTGACCTTGAAATATCCGGAGTACCTCCATCTAAAAAAAAACTATCGGATGGCTCTCTTTGTACTGTGCAATTTTGGTTAAACAAATATTTCTGTGAACCTTATAGTTTTGAAGATATCTGAGGTGCTAATAATTATTGTCCTACCCTGTATAATACATAGAAAATTTAACGCCGTTCAGAAGAATACCGAAATAAATAAATGCAAAAGAGTCTTCTTAATAAAAAATGAACGTTGTCACGAATATAGGTGCATTTATTATTTTCGAATGAGTCTTGAAATTTCGATTGTCTTTTTTCTCCATTATTTGAAGTTAAATCTTCCCTCGTTGTAAATTTACCAAAACATGCAAATACAAAATAATTTTACAATCAAGGAAAAACAATTAAATAAGAATTTTCACAACACTTACATTTGATTGTGAGTATTACATGCACTCATAACATGGAAATAGATCAATTTTCACTGAGTACTGTCTTAAACGGAAATAAATTAAGAAGAGGAAATCTGTTAATTATTCGACTTACTATTTATCGCCATACGTCAAAGTATTTATGTATGCGTTTCTTGTTCTCGCATTTCTTGACTCTCCTTTTCAAATTGCTTTTTATTTAATTGTTAATTACCTGTTTGTAAATATTAGTAACTACAACGTCTTTCAGAAGAACGGAACGGTTCAAATGCAGACACACTAAGCAATGTTTAAAAAAAGGTATTATTATTTAAAAAGCGATTAAATTCTGTTAGGTTATAGAAATTATACTTTTCGTGATAACGAACGGGATATGTAAGAAAAACTATCGTGTATTGAACTATTTACTTTGACGTAAAGTTAGTCTTATTAACACATTGAATGTGGCATCAAAAATTGAAAGATGTCCCATGTGACCGATTTTCTCATAAAATGTATCTTTTTATGTTACCTTTGATATTTTATCAAATTTTAAACGGAAATAAGATTCTGCGAAGAAAAAGCCTGAACGTGGATGTTTACGTCACCAGCCATAGGAAAGGGTATATCGCAATGAGGCGTACATACGTTGTTTATCGAATATAGAAATTGAAAAGTAAAATTTTTTTCGATTTCATATTTACCGAAGGGTGACTGCATAATGCGTATGGGGACGGAAAGGGAATATCCGTAAAAGTGGAATTTGTTAGTTCGTATAGTAAAAATAAACATATTTTATTGCTACATTACGTTTAAAATTGGATTATGTAACTCTTCGTATAAGTTCACGAATCAATTTTGTTTCAACTATAAAGTAAAATAAAAAATTGTGAAAAACCGTGAACTGTTGATTATTTTCTGTATAATCATTGGATTCAATTTTGTATATTTTTTATTAAATGCTTTGTGAAACATTAACAAGGAAGCATTGAATAAAGCTACATCGAATTCAAGTATCCTTTAACACTACAACTATATCGAAAACGACAGTGTTTCTGTGTTTATCACGTTGGTAAAAGGACCGACTTAACGAACTTTATCACATATTTGTTGTAATAAAAGTTGCGAAAAATCTCAGAAAATTCATTGTCCT